ACTGAGCCCTCGGAAGTCACCGAGATTATAAAGTCACTTAAAAACAACTCAGGGAATCTGTCTAATGTCCCACCATTACTGTACAAGTGAGCGGCCCATATCCTTCGCATGCTATTTCATTACTTTTTAACAAGTCCCTAAGAAACTAGCACCTTCCCGAAACTACTCAAGATGGCAAGGGTTACACCAATACATAAAGGTGGTGACCCTACAGACTTAAACAACTATAGGCCAATATCAAACTTACCATTGCTATCCAAAATCTTTGAGAAACTTGTGCACAGGAGACTATATTCATTTATAACAGCACAAAACATACTCAACCCCTGCCAATTTGGATTTAGGAAAAATAAAAGCACTAATGATGCAATCATAAAAATGCTAGATCTGCTTTACACAGCATTGAAATAAGGAATATCCACTAGGAATTTTTATTGACCTAAGAAAAGCTTTTGACACAGTAGACCACGACATCCTACTCCACAAACTTGACCATTACGGTATAAGAGGCCATGTGCTTGCTAATTTCAAATCTTACCTTACTAATAGGTATCATTATGTTACCATTAAAGACACAGCATCAACAACAAGGCCACTTGATACTGGAGTTCCGCAGGGAAGTGTCCTTGGTCCCCTGCTCTTCCTCATATACATCAATGATCTTCCAAATGTATCCCAACACCTGAAACCCATTCTCTTTGCTGACGACATGACTTATGTCATCTCTCACACTAATCTTGCAACCCTCAACACCATTGTTAACGAGGAGCTGATCAAAATATCGACTTGGATGACAGCCAATAAACTTACGCTTAACACTGACAAAACCTACTACATTATGTTTGGTAGCAGAGCAGGAGATGCGCAAATTAACATTAAGATCGACAACACTCTAATTACCAGACATAATGAGGGCAAATTCCTAGGCCTATACCTCGACAACAACCTGAACTTCAGCACCCATATCCAACACATAACCAAAAAAGTATCCAAAATGGTTGGGATCCTCTCCAAGATACGATACTACGTGCCGCAAACTGCCCTTCTCACACTATACCATTCACTTATATATCCATACCTCACCTATGCTATCTGTGCTTGGGGTTCAACTGCAGCAACACACCTAAAGCCAATAATAACCCAACAAAAAGCCGCAGTAAGAATAATCACTAAATCCCATCCCTGGCAACACACCCCCCCACTCTTCATAAATCTAAACTTACTCCCTGTTCAGTACATCCACACTTACTACTGTGCAATCTACATCTACAGGGCCTTAAATTCCAATATTAACCTTGACCTAAAACACTTTCTTGATAGTTGTGACAGAACCCACAGGAACAACACCAGACACAAACATCTCTATGACATTCCCCGTGTCCGACTAAACCTTTACAAAAATTCAATGTATGTCAAAGGCCCTAAAATCTGGAACACCCTACCTGAAAATTCCAAAACTGCAGACACATTCATCACCTTCAAAACTACCATCAGAAAACATCATATCTCCCTGATACACCCTGTCAACTAATAATACGAATACCACCTGGTGGTTCACACTTACACTCACTCACCCATTTGACCATAAACAGAAATATCAATCTCAATCTCAAAATAATGAATCTTAACTAGTCAAAAGTTGGTCTGTGATACTCCAATACTGAAACTATGTATAGTGCCAAAACAAAAGCATTCACATTGCTAAACTCACAACTAGTATTTAGTCACTTAGCCATAATGCCAACTTATCTCATAATTCTGTAACATTTTAAACCTAAGATTTAATATAAGTCTACCCGAAATGCCTAGCCATGCTAGGTGTTCTAGTGGTACACTCTGTAATTATTATTTTACTACATGTAAACCACACAATAACCAAATTCTGTAAACTCAGCATTGTAATACTTATAGAGAATAAAGTTTGAATTTGAATTTGAATTTGAATTTGAATTTTTCATCAACTTCACGCCTCCATATCTCCATAAGTACTGATGGTAAAATTTTTTTGTTTAGCCTATAATATTTAGAAAACAAAAAAAAAACTAATTTTTCATAAGAAAAAATATTTTTTTTTTTTTTGGAAATTTGGCCGACCCTGAGAACGAGTCTCTGAGAGGACCTGTTGACCCTAAAAGGGTGTCTTTCACAGGCTTGTGCCCTGGCAGTGCCTTTTCCTCCTGGGTAATGTAGGTCCTGTTTGGCATTTTCTTCCAAAACAGGCCTGTTTTGTCACAATTGAACATTTGTTGGGGTTCGAATCCTTCAGCCTTTACATAGTCCTGGAATTTGTGAACATACTTTTCAACCACACATTTGTCAGAATCTGTAGCCTCACCATGCTTTAAAACACTGTGTTTGCCACTACACTTCTTAAATCTATCAAACCATCCTTTGCTGGCCCTAAATTCACAAACTGCAGCACTTGTTCCAGGCATTTTCTTTGCAAGATCCTCATGCAACTGCTTTGCCTTCTCACAAATGATCGACTCCACAACGCTGTCTCCCACTAATTCTTTTTCCTTAATCCATGATAATAATAACTTTACCATTTCTTCGATTATCAGTGTAACTTGTTTAGTTAGAAAAGCTATTCCTTTTGCAACATTAGCGTCTTTGATTTGTTCTTTCTTTGCCAGGATGGATGTAATTGTTGATTTATTCTTGCTGTACATCCTGGCAAGTTCCACCACCTTCATATCACTCTCACACTTTACTATCGCTTCACACTTAACCCTTTCAGGGTCCAGAGGCCAAATTTCAAAGTGTGCACCAGTGTCCAAGAATTTTCAAAAAATAATTTAATTTTTTCTTATGAAATGGTAGAGAATCTTTTCTGAAGGTAATAAAACAAAAAGTACAAAATTTGATGGAAAATTGACGAAATTATGCTCTTGCTAATTTTGATGTGTCAGCGATACTTACGCATCGGTGATTTTGCTGACTTTGACTCCCATTTTAGGGCAACTACCTTATTCCAGCTGACTAAATTCTTAGCTATTTCACTAGTATTACTTCTATTCTGCGATTGAGCACAAGAAATTGCCAACTCAACTGTTTCAACTAGAAAATAAAGTGATTGGAAATTGGTAATTTGGCCAATTGAGTGCAAAGTTCAAAATATTCTAATTTCGAAATAGGGTCCAGAATAAACAATGCAGGCATTCCTGGCACTAAACTAACATTTCCTCTGTTCATTAGTTATGTTTTCAGGCTTTACAAATGAATCCCATTTTGATTTTTAATTCACATAATTAATTTTTATTCAAACCAAAAAATAGAAGATTTACTGTAATGTAATACAGTGGAACCTCAAAACTCGAACTGCTCCCAACACAACCAATTATGTAAGTGTATTTTTGTAAGTGCTTTTATAAGTGTATTTTTAAGGGTCTGAAATGGACTAATCTAATTTACATTATTCCTGATGGGAATAAATTCATTCGGTAAAGGCACTCGAACAGACTTCTGGACCAAAGAAAGTTCGATATTTGAGGTTCCACTGTACTGTAATAATTGTATATATAATATCAACACAGTTGTGAATGTATATTAGATGCACCAGCTGGTGTGTATTAGACGTGTGAGGTCATTTGTTTACTTTTGAACATCGGCAAAAATTTAACATTTCCGCTACTTTGAGCTCAGTTTCAAGCCATTTTCAGTACTAAATCCAATCAAAATCATCTCTATTTCTGTAATATATCTTCCATTCTATCAAATGAGACCAAGAAATCAGAAATACAACTGTAAAAAACATATGAAAACACACTGCAAATTTGCTGTTTTAATCAAAAATTAAGGTCTGTTTTCTTTCTCTCATTATGCATTGTGTGTTGTAGGATTTGTTTTATGTGGTGCACACATACCACATAGATGTATTCTCTCATATCTAGGCCCAAATTTACTGCTCACAGCTTATCAGAGTGAGCTGAGCTCATGGGGTAGATCTACGGTTCGGACCCTCAACATAAAGCCGTAGATCTATGGCATGGACCCTGAAAGGATTAAATTCCATGGTGTTTATCACTCTCTTTACCACAGGAACTTTACTAGGAACTTTCTTTGGAGCCATGGTTACTTATTTCACAGTTGCACTGCAAGAAAAAACACTAAAAGCAATGGTAAACAAGCGAAATGTTTGGATGTATGAGCAGCAGCTTCCTCAGCCACCGAGAGACAAAGCTAAACTGAAGCGCAAGCTGCCGTAGCTGGCGGATGGATGTGTCCAAAATGGCCGATAACCGAGCGAACAGCCAATAACCGGGCGCCGAAAATCCTGCCGATAACCGAGTTGGCCGATTACTAAACCGGCTGATAACCGAGGGTTCATTGTAATATAAACACACACACACACTTTTTTGTAAACATGCCAGCCATCTCCCACCAAGGCAGGGTGACTCAAAAAAGAAACACTTTCACCATCATTCATACATAATCACTGTCTTTGCAGAGGTACCCAGATATGACAGAGTAGATGTCACTCCAAACAGCTAATATCCCAAACCCCTCCTTTAAAGTGCAGGCATTGTACTTCCCACCTCCAGGACATTTTCATTTTAATTTTCACTTTCATGTCTGGCTAACCAGTTTTCCCTGAATCCCTTCACAAAATATTACCCTGCTCACACTCCAACAGCTCATCAGGTACTAAAAACCATTCATCTCCATTCACTACTATATAAAATGTTCACACATGCCTGCTGCATGTCCAGGTCCCTTGCGCACAAAACCCCAATGGAAATAAGTCACTCTGACTTTTTTGGGTTATCCTAGGTACTTTACACATATGCTGCTATGTATGATAATCTATGTAACTGTATTTGTGTATACCTGAATAAACTTACTTACTTACTTACTCTTTTACCCCATCCCTCCATCCTTTTCTAGGACGACCCCTATCCCTCCTCCCCTCCACTACAGATTTATATGTATTTTTTTTATTTTATAAACATTTCAGAAGGCTTGCAATATACAAACACAAACTAAGCAAACATAACAATTTAAAAAAAAATTATTACCTTATGATCCCCCATAGTGGTGCTTTGGCCAATGAGATTGTATGTAACCTTTCCTCCACTCTGAAAAAAACAAATGATACAATACAGTATAACCTTGCACTATTTTGTTTCTGGCAATCCTAATATATTACTAAAAGTATCTCAGCATAAGTGAAAGGTACAGTATTTTTGTTGTATTACACTAATATGGAGAGGCTACTCAGGAGCAAGTGACTGAGTCAAGTCAGGCTCTCTCTCAGTTTTTCTGAGTTTCTCTAGTTTCAACTTAGCAGCAGTGGCAACACCAAGGGTAAGAGGAGCAAAGTGGAGTCAAGCCTTTCATAAACTCCATAAGCCCCTCAAAGTCACCCCAAATAATACAAAAATAATACAGCAGAACGTTATATTACATGGATTTATATGCCACATTTTGATTATTGCACTATTGAAAAATTGTGACACAATTTTATACACTTCGTAAAATGAACTTAACATGGTTCTGTTTGCAGGCACGAAAAAATTTTCCCCAGTTCAAGCTGCTGCCTTGTTGTGGGTCAGTGGGGGAAACCTACCACCATTTCCTGCCACCCCTGATACTTCCACCACCACCACCACCCCAGCCTTCATGAATATGTGTTCAGTTCCATTGTCTTAAGAGCTAGCTGTGTTTGTGAACTGTTTTGATCTTTAAATTGCCATATCTTGTATCTGACAAGAAATTATAGCACCCAGTAGGTATACAAGTGTTGCTGAAAGTGGCAAGAAAAGGTTTAAGTGTTTAACCCTTAACTGTCCAAACATAGATCTACATTCTTACCACTAGCGCTCCAAACATAGATCAATGTTTTATTTTTCCTGCCTCCAAATTTGGCACGATTGACCTGAGATGCCTGGTCAGCACAGAATGGGTCTTAACACATGGTGTGCAAAGTACAGCCTCTCCTCACCTAATTACAGGGAGTGGGGGGGGGCAACCACCTTCCCATGTCACCCCTGACAGTCCTGTCACCACCATCCCAGTGTCTTAGGAGCTATCTGTGTTTGCAAATTGTGTTTTGATCTTTTAACCCTTAAATGGTCCAAACATATATGCGTTCACTTGCGCAGCGCCCCGAATATTTTGAAAAAAAAAAAAAAAAAAATATATATAGAAAAAAAGAGCACCTTTTTCTAAGTACATGTATTATAGAATAAAAAAATTTTTTTTTAGGGTCAATACTTACGGTGATATGAGGCTAAGAAGTTGGCACTGGATGCTCATGTAACAGCAACATCGAGTCCTGCCGCTTGCAGAAGTGTTGCCTATATACCTTTTTTCTATTTTTCATATTATTTTATGTAATTTTTATGTTCTGATAATTACAATTTGTAGTTCTTGTCGTTTTATAACCAATCTTTGTTCTGACACTAGTATTAGGTACTGAAATTGTACTCAAATTGTCACACACTGACAGGTGGACATTTACACCTGCCTTGGTCATTTACTATTGTCTTGGAATATTTACTAAATATTTATAGGTCCCAGCAATGTTTTGGATATGTGGAAGTAGAAGTAGAAGTAGAAGTAGTAGTAGTGGTAGTGGTGGTGGTGGTAGTAGTAGTAGTAGTAGTAGTAGTAGTAGTAGTAGTAGTAGTAGTAGTAGTAGTAGTAGTAGTAGTAGTAGTAGTAGTAGTAGTAGTAGTAGTAATAGTAGTAGTAGTAGTAGTAGTAGTAGTAGTAGTAGTAGTAGTAGTAGTAGTAGTAGTAGTAAGAAGAAGAAGAAGAAGAAAGAAAGAAGAAGAAGAAGAAGAAGAAGAAGAAGAAGAAGAAGAAGAAGAAGAAGAAGAAGAAGAAGAAGAAGAAGAAGAAGGTGGTGGCGGTGGCAGTAATAATAATATAATAATAATACATAATAATAATAATATAATAATAATATAATAATAATACATAATAATAATAATACATAATAATACATAATAATAATAATATGTAATAATAATAATAAGTAAGAATAATAATATGTTCCCTTGAAGAATGAAAAACAAAGTCCACCCCTGACAGTGACATGATAAGGGGAGATAACATCTGATAAGAGCTGACGTTTGACGAGGGTAAACGAGGGCGGGGGAGGGTGCAGCTGATAAGAAAAGATTAGATGACCATCCCCCTCGCTTTGTTTTTGCTGGTACACAAACATTTCTGTCTGTCTATTTGTCTGTCAAGTTCCCTGTCTATCTGTCTATCCATCTACCTCTGTCTCAGAGAGAGCCACAAGACTGCATCATGTTTACTCACATCTTCAAGCAGAATATAGCACTTTGGATTTTTTGGTTACCCTAGGTAATTTATACTACATATACTTGTATTTATGTGTACCTGTGAGACAGACATAGACAAAGACAGATTGAAAGAGATAGACAGAGATAGATAGACAAAGCCAGAGACAGACATACACAGGCAGATAGACAGAGACAGAGACAGATAGAGAGAGATAGAGACAGATAGAGAGAGATAGACAAAGACAAAGATATACAGAGACAGATAGACAGAGACAGAGACAGAGACAGATAGAGACAGAGACAGATAGACAGAGACAGACAAAGACAGAGATCAATAGACCCTAAACTTGGGGTTAACATCACTTTCCTCTTAAAAGAGAAGTGTTAATATGACATTACATCAGTGAATCCTTGGTGTTTGCCGCACTGTTTGCTCAAGGTACTAAGTGGTCCCAGATTTTTTTAATACTGCGAAAACCGAGTGTTAAGACCAATTCTATGCTGACCAGGCATCTCAGGTCAATTGTGCCAAATTTGGAGGCAGGAAAAATAAAACATATATATACGTTAACAGGTACATTTTGCTATTTCTTCTTACACTTAGGTCATGCTACACATGCACGTACACATGTGTATATGCACTCATCTGAGTTTTCTTCTATTTCCTTAATAGTTCTTGTTCTTATTTCCTTCCTTTCATATCCATAGGAAAGTGAAAAAAGAATCCTTCCTCTACAAGCCATATGTATCGTAAAAGGTGACTAAAATGCCAGGAGCAAGCGAACTACTAACCCCTCCTCCATAAAAATCACTAAAAATAAGAAAAGTGTCAAGTTGGGATGTTTGAGTGTGGATGTAATGCAGATGATAAGAGATGAATGTCAATGTCATGAAACTGGATGTCCTGGCTCTAAGAGAAACAAAAGCTGAAGAGGGAGTAAGTCAAGGGTATCTGAGTGTGTTAGAGCTAAGGAAGGAGTAGCAATAATGTTGAAGGATCAGTTATGGCAGGAAAAGACGATGAATGTATAAATTCAAGGATTACATGGATTAAAATAAGGGTCAGACACAAAAAGCGAGTTATACAGTAATATGCATATTAATTTGGAATGTAATGAAATTAGACATATATCTGGTAAATTGATGGCAATGATATGATAGATATTTGATTTAATAACAGATATGACTACTCTTTGCTTTCATAAGCATTGCTACACACTTTGGCATTAAATTGACCAATGGTGAACACATTTTGGCAACTTCTTCGTCATAGTACCAGGCCCTAATAACAGCTGCAATTAACTTCTCAATTGAACAGTCTTGTTTAATGATCCAGTGTTTGGTTATTGCCCACAGTCTCTCAATTGGGTTGAGGTCAAGAGAGTTTCCAGGCCAATTTAGAATGCATGGAAGTGTGGTATGGAGCAAGATCCTGCTGGAAAATGCCTTCTCTATCAGGAAAGTCTCTATCCACAATGGGAAGCAAATGAGATGCCAGGATTGCCTTGTATTTGTCACTATTCATCGTTTCCTCAACAATAAAAAGTTATCCAGGGTCTTGAGCAGTAAAACTACCCAAAAACATCTTTTTAGGTGGATGTTTTGGCCCTTGTTGACTGTGTCCATTCCAAAGAGGTTCACCTTTGCTCCATCTCACTACCACTGATCTGTACTCATGTATTGTAGATCGTTAATTAACACTGGTTCCTTTAACACGTTGTCTCCATTACACTACATATGTATTGCAAAATTACAGCATATTTTCGACTACACTCCGTAAAATTAGACTAACACAGTTTCACTACAGGGAAAAAAATTTGGAGTACCGTGAGTTGGGCCGAGGGATTTTTTCCATCCGTCTAGTGGCCTCGTCAGCAGCCTGCCTGTGGGTCAGTCCACTGTCTTTGTGAGGGAGACCTAGCTTCCTCCCCTGCCTCCCCCATCCCACCTCTCATTCATTTGTACATACGTGTCCCATATGATTCTCTACTTTGTCAGTGTGACTTCATAAATGGTCCAAGTAGGACCAAAATGTAATCGCAAGCTCCTCTCTCCTATGTGCGGGTTATTTGTGTACTAGTCAATGTATGCAGTGTTTCATATCAATAAGTCAAGTTGTCTAACTTTTATGGGTTACCCTAAGTAATTTATGCTATGTATGATAATTGTACTTAGGAGTATCTGTGCCTAAATAAACTTACTTCCCATACTCAAATGTAAGCTTGTTGGCAACAATGTCTATGTACAAACTGAGAGGGCAGACATGAACTGCACTTGTCTATGTGAGGGACCTTCCCAGTATTTATGTACCTTCTGCTTATCTTCCTTTGCATAATAAAGGTTAAAAGATAAAAAAGTACCTGGATGCAATGTGTATACAGTACCTACTTCATATAAATTTGTGCATCAGTTTAGTTGGTACACTCATAGTTTGTTTTAGGACGTGTGTGAGAGTATGTTGTTGGTGTTGGGGGATCAAGGGCTAACAGCCTCTGAGCAACCCACCCGCCCTTCCTTATACTTATATTTTTATTACTAAAAATGCAAGGAAATTGATAATTTTACTTTTTTTTTATTAACACACTGGCTGTTTCCCACTAAGGTAGAGTGGCCCAAAAAAGAAAAATTTCACCATCATCCACTCGTCTTGCCAGAAGCATGTTTACATTACAGTCATAAAACCACAACATTAACACCCCTTCTGGAGGGCTTGAGTCCAGCCTGCCAGTTTCCCTGAATCCCTACATAAATATTACACTGAAAACACTCCAACAGCACATCAAGTCCTAAAAACCATTTGTCTCCATTCACTCCTATCTAAC